AGACCAGAAGAGCTTCGTGTGCCATTTGAGAGGTTTGGACCTGTGAGGGATGTCTATATCCCCAGAGACTATTACTCAGGGTGAGCATTGTAACTATTGTTCCTTTCTCTATGTGGTGATCTTTTCATTTTACCTTAAATTTACTGATTCTGTGCTCTGCAAAGACGAGTCTTTTGAGTCTGAATTTGATTGTTTGTCTCTATAGATAGTCTAATTATGTGCTGAGTAGCATAGGTTGTTTTTTATATCCGTAGAATTTGCTTTGTGAAGTATGATTGAACTCATTTTTCATTTTCTATGCTGAACAATTTGTTCGTAAGTCGAGGTGGTGTACACAATTTTGGTTTAAGGTGTCTGATATGCATTTAACTTCTCTGTTTTTGTTTGTCCATTCATTGATCGAGTTAAATTCTCGGGGTGAGAAGAAACACTTTTCGTTTTCAGAGCTTTCTGTTTTCGGTTTTTTCAAAAGTGAATTAAATGTTGGACTGATTTCCCAGGGGGTATGTTGGCTTGAAGTTAAAACAAGACCAAGCCCCACTTTTGATGAAGGCCTCATGAAAATAATGCTTAGCTTATTGGTCCAAAAGGATATTAAGGGTCATTTCAAATCAAGAATGTTTTGTTTGGAAGCAAGTTATAAGTGAAGATTGTTTTGTTTGGAAAGCAAGTAGAAATTCAAGAATGTTTTGTTTGGAAGCAAGTAATAAGTCAAGAGTGTTCTATGGAAGCAGTAATAAGTGAAGCATGTTCCTTATGAAGCTATGCAATAGATTACTCAAAACTATAGAAGTTTGTTGGGGAAGGTGACTTGAAGAGAACTTAACTTTGGGATCAAGTGCTCTACTTATTTTTACAAGATATCTCTTTCCTGTTAAGAAAAGACCAGCTAGTAGCAATTTGCGTAAGTAGAGCTCTGGTTTTCGTAGAAGTTCTCAGAAGCTGACGTTTACGGTATTTGTGAAAGGTATACAGTTTAGTGGTTGAGTATAGGCTGATTTTGCTGGTAACTCTAGTTTTTTCTTTCTTTCTGGTGTAATGTGCTTTTGCCGTCAACCACCTGGAATGATAAAGCTTCTAATGAATGATGCAGGGAACCGCGGGGGTTTGCTTTTGTGGAGTTTGTTGATGCATATGATGCTGGAGAGGCTCAAAGAAGCATGAACAGGAGAGTATTTGCTGGGAGAGAGATAACTGTGGTTGTTGCTTCAGAGTCTAGGAAAAGGCCCGAAGAGATGCGTGTGAAAACTAGGACTCGTAGTAGGTAAGTTTCCATTTTCTGATTGCTAAAGCAGAGAGATTATCAACCATATCACTCTTCATCAGTAGTGCTCTTTAGGTTGTTTATCATTTATACTAAGAAGATGAGAAAGGAATAACAAACGATTTGTTTTCATTTTTCAGGGAACCTTCAGGCTCTAGAGGTCGTTCTCATGGTTCGCTATTTGCTCTTTTTGTATCTCTATGATTTCAACATATATGAGCTCAGCGAGATTGTGATGCACTTGTACATCGCTTGAGTGTGTTTGTGATTGTTTTTTTCTCAGGGCGGTCTCGTTCACGTTCAATCTCTAGATCACGCTCTCCCCGTCGTCCATCGGACTCTAGAACCAGATACCGATCAAGGTAAAACACGTTTCATCACTCGTACCTTTTTCCATATCATTGCCAATACAACAAGATGTATAAATTATTTACATAATGATATTCCAGGTCTTATTCTCCCGCACCGAGACGAAGAGGAGCAGACTATTCAGCATCTCCAAGGAGAAGGCAAGAGGAACGTCCACGGTCACCACCAAGAGGTCCACCTCGAGGAGAAGAAGATGGGAAATACAGTCGCAGGTCCTATTCCCCTGGCTATGAAGGTGCTGCTGCTGTTGCAGACCGGGACAGAAATGGAGACGATGAGATTAGAGAGTAAGTGAGACATTGCCTCTGATTTTTCTTTTGTCCATCGGGGATTGAATTATGTCTGATTTTCATTGTTTGGACATTGATTGGTCTTTTTTTAGGAAACCGGGATATGAACCAGAGGAAAGGCGTCGTGGTGGAAGAGCGGTTTCAAGGTCGCCATCGGGATCCAGGTCCAGATCTGCGGAGGTATCTCCAAGATAAAAAGAAAATGCCTGTGTCCCTCGGACCGAAAACTCTCTCTATGGGTTTTATTATCTCTTTGTGTCTCTCTAGTTGTGGTCTTCAAAAACTGCTCACTCTGGCTTTCTTAAAGATAATTCGTCTTGTGATATGTGATGTTACTTGAAATCGTTCAAAGTTTGTGGGTCTTTTTTTTAATGTTGTATGAAGAAATATTTGGTTAAGCTTTTGATTTAAGAAACGATTAAAGACAACAATGGTCAAGATCGACAACACTACCTTTATTTATAGCAGCCTCCTCCCATACTCATGAAGAACTCGTCATGTCTAAAGAATTCTTTATGTAGAATCTTTAAGCAATAAGGATGAAGTTTCTTGGGTCGTTTTTGGACAAAACTCCAAAGACTTTTGGTTTTTCTCGTACTTTTTGGTTGGTTCGTTTTTCAGTTCAAACCCATTCTCGAACAATAAGGGTAGTATGGTCATTTTAGTTTGGTTGACCAGACCAATAAACACACTTTAGGTTTTTGGTCCAGTTTGGAACCACGACGCGGGTTGTGTTTTGAAATTAAATACTACTAAAAGAATATTATTAATTGATTGGCTGCATTTGTATCTCGTGTGTATTTAAAGACTTTTTTCCCGTACACAACTATCGT